TAAATGAATTCATATGTAGTTATGTGTTCCTTATTAAAAGTACCTAGTTATGCTATAAAATAGTCACATAAATAGAGCAAACGGAATAACATAGAATAAAATCACTATTTTTATTTTTATTCTATTCATTCTCTATGATGACTAATTCATATAGTAATGAAGCCGGAAAAATAATTAAGAGCGATTTATTAAGCTGCTCGTGGTTTTATATGAAACTTGTGAAATGAGGCCGTCAGCGCAAAAGTGGCCTAACCCACAATCTTTTATATTCAAGCTTATATGTATATTTATTTAAAATATAATAAATTTTGTTACAAAACTGGCCCATCCATAGTTTTACCCATAGATAATAGATGGCTTTGTGAACATTATTTTTGCGCGTATTATTTTTTTGCCTACTCAAATTCAAATTCATGAAAGTTCATACTAACTATGGTAAGCTTTGGCCACTTTTGCGCTGACGGCCTCAAATAAATAACATTAATGTAAAGTGCATAAAGTAAAAGCCATTTATTACATTTTAAACTAAAACGAATACTTAGTAACATGTCCACCCCTTTAATTACTGGTTTACACCGGCGAGACATTGACTCGGCCAATTTTTTACGTTTAGCAAGAGAGATAGAGTTCCATTCTTCTAAGAAAATGTCTTACAAATATCTTAATTGCCATAATGTCGTTTTAGAACCTTTTTGAAGTGAAACTTCTTTAGGCGCATGAGGGTAACATTTTTACAGAACGTCACACAGGTATGCAACGGAAGTGACATCAAACTACTATTGAAATTAAGTACTTGCCAAATGTCAGTAGTAGTAGTTGTTGTATTTTTCCAACTGGAAAGGCAAATGTATCATACCATACGGCCTAATATTTTATAATTTTTTTGTGAAAAATGTTAATAGGAATTGAAATGAAATGAAAAGAATTTGGAACATTAATCAAATAGCATGAAATTAAATTAGTCAATTCAATTGGCAAAATATTAGTCATTTACAATTTAGAAATCTAAACATAATGTGACTGTCAACACTGAGGTTTAAGATTGACATTTGACAGACTTTTGGCGTGAACATATCTTTCTTTTTCCCTTCCTCTAAGTCTCGGAAATCTAAAGTTTTAGATTTGTATAAATATGAGCAAGCCTTATAAATTAGTTCGCCAAAAAAGTTTCACTTCTGACATATGTACTTTGTACGCACGCACTTTTTTGTTTGACTTCGCACCAAAGAAGGTTAGGTTAGGATTTTAAATTTGAGCATAAGCTGGCCAATCTAAGACAGAAACTGGTGCGAAGTGAGACATACCTAAACGATGCGCGCAGTATGCTTTGGATCATTAACGTGCTGGAATGTCCAAATAGACAGAAGCACGTCTACAACATAAGATAACACTGTTTCTTCCAGTACATTTTTGTGTTGGAATTGATCCATGTTTCCTTCCAATAGGTCCAACATCATCTCCAATAATCAAGCAAGATTCTCGCATTTCATTCACTATTCTTTAATGTCACTTTTGTGTGCTTAGGGTCGAATGCTTTATTCGGAGACTTCAATTGTTAGTCGTACATAACTCGTAACAATGCTTCTAATAGATGTCTTAACGACAAAAAAAGCTTGCAAAGTATTTGTAAAAAATATAAAGTATGTATATTTTATCGATCGTTTTAAAGCTCTGTTAAGATCTCTCTGTTTAAATTACTATTTACTGGCTGGTGATATAAATGCGAACGCTGAATAGTTTATTATTTTATTCAAATTGAAATAGAGAGCACTTTGTTGCTCTGTGGTTGTAAGTCACTATTCGTATAATTTTGGCGTCATTTAGTGCTGTAAAGTCCTAACAAATATTGCTTCATATGAAAAAAAAATGAGGAAAAATAAATGTTTTGATTAATCTAAAAGCGAAGTAACAAAACTTCGCAAGACGAATTGGTTCAATAAAAATATATCTGATCATCCGCAATGCTCAAAAACGGTTTTTCAGGCTGTGGAGCATTTTGCCATTACCATTTTGATATTCGAAGGCGTTTGATAGAAGAAAAGTTGCATATTAGGATAGCTAGGACAGTGCCCATGTACAAACCATAGTCATAGTGCCATAGGCACCATTTCATACCATCTGCATTTGTAGCATTTGCAAGATGGTATGAAACCAGACAGATAGTGAAAAAATGTTTTTATTTCTTATGAGACAAAAATATACAGGGTATATTTGGAAGGAAGACGATATGTAAGACGATTGAGACTTTTCCCGGTAATATGTGTATGTTTTTATATACTGATCACTTTATAAATTAAAACATCTTCTTTATTTAGTGTAGACGGAAGAAGAGCTCAAGACCGGGTGGTGTTCTACTGAAGCCAATAAATATCATGCGAAAATCGCCTTAAAAACTTATTTTCAAAACAACTTAATCTAATGAACTCATCAAATATATATATCGAAGAAAATTGTAGATCATTAAAGATGAAAAAATAATATCTAAATAAAAGAAGAAAGAAGATACATACATATTACGAAATTCACATTCCACTCTAACTTACCTTTTTTGTGAACTTTCGCTATAGGCAATAGCGCGGTTTAAACGAGACCATTACAGCCACACCATTTGCAATGTCAACACGTTACTAACAAGCTATTAACCATTAAGTACACAATTCCACACATCACACAGGAAAGTGTGAAACACCCGACTCTCAATTCAGGTAAAGATCCAGCTTCATACCACACTACATGGCAATCTTTTAATGATGAAAAATCATCATTACATTTATTGTTTTACCACACCAATAGACTTATTATTAATATAAAATGATCAGGTGCGTCGAACTCTTAATATTTTCTTTAAATTTAGAGTTAATAATAAATGTCCTAGTTGTAATGGTAGCTTTCCCAACCTACCTTATTATATGCCGTTTCGTTATCTTAGCGAAATATTATAATTTGATTTTTTTTTACCAAGAAATTTAACTGTTAACTAATTTTTATCTAGTGGCTTTTATGATACTCCGACAATCAATTTACGATATGCAAAATTTACAGACTAAAAAAACGTAATCTTTGTGACCAGGTTTTATGTTTTTTTATTGCTTTTTACGGGTAGATAAAGCTCGCTTCAATAGCTGCGAGAATCACGTTGTCATGTGTATATGGACTTCTTGCTTAACTAAACAGTAAGACAAACTAAACACTAAAATTTGAAGTCGTCGTGGCCTAAAGGATAAGACGTCCGGTGCATTTGTGTTGAGCGATGCATCGGTGTTCGAATCCCAGGCGGGTACCAATTTTTCTAATGAAATACGTACTGATCCAATGTTCACGATTGACTTACACGGTGAAGGAATAACATCGTGTAGTAAAAATAAATCCCGCAAAATTATAACTTGCGTAATTACTGGTGGTAGGTAAATGCGTGCGGGTAGGTAACCACCACCCTGCCTATTTCTGCCGTGTAGCAGTTATGCGTTTCGGTTTGAAGGGTGGGGCAGTCGTTGTAACTATACTGAGACCTTAGAACTTATATCTCAAGGTGGGCGGCGCATTTACATGGTAGATGTCCATGGGCTCCAGTAACCACTTAACACCAAGTAGGCTGTGAGCTCGTCCACCCGTCTAAGCAATAAAAAATAACTACCCTAAAATTATGATAAATCATTTAATCGCAACCTTTATTTAAATAATAATAAAAGCAGAATTATTTAAATCAGAGTGCATCGAGACGCGATGGCGTGGCTCGGCGCTTTCAGCGATCAGCATTTCAAATGGATTTGCGGCAATCCAAACCGCTACTAAAAGCACTACCGAACTCTTGTTGATATTTATATTCCTGCCAAGATTAATGTTTGTTATTCATTTAATTTACCTTAACGCGAAGTCACTTTTAAGAGTACGTAGAGCTAATATCAACATTAGAATGAACATTTTATCGTATGTACCGAACATTTTATGATGTCAGAAATCGCGCGGCTTTTTTTTTATGACTTAGATAGGTGGAGGAGCTCACAGCCCACTTGGTGTTAAGTGGTTACTGGAGCTTATAGACATCTACGACGTAAATGCGCCACACACATTGAGATACCAGTTCTAAGGTCTCAAGTATAGTTACAACGGCTGCCCTTCAAACTGAAACGCATTACTGCTTCACGGCAGAAATAGGCAGGGTGGTGGTACCTACCCGTGCGGACTCACAAGAGGTCCTACCGCCAGTAATTACGCCAATTATAATTTTGTGGGTCTCTGGTAGCTACACAAATAATGACATTTTGTGTGATTTGTTTTGAACGAATGCAATGACTCAGGATAGACGCTAGCTTTGCTACTCAATGAGACATTATTCTATACAACACCATTAACTATTTACGTAACAGTCATTTTGATACAATGCGTACTCCATTATCACTTTTGAACATCAGCCAAAAAACGCATTTAAACTTATGTTATTGCTTTGTTAAGCGAGCTGTTTCGGTTACATGTGGCGATGGCCCACTCGCTGATCGTGATAGTTGTGGTTTTGACATCTATTTGCAAATTCATTCAGTTAACAATTTACCTATGTAGCTTTTTCAGAAAATTCTGACTCAAAGAAAATCTACAAAAGCAGGACCAAAATAAATAATAGATAAAAAAAACTAACAAAACACGCTTTTATGGGAAATCCAACTAAAAAATAGAAAATAAATTTTAATAAATTTTAATTAAAAACAGTGTAAGAAAATATGGTTTTATTGTAAAAAAAAGCGTGGGGTGCCTGGTATCAAGATATGAGTAGAAGGGTTATTTTGATAATATCCTTTTTTAACTATTATTCATTTTTCATTTTTTAGTTGAATTTCACAATTTTTTTTTTTTAATATTGAATTGTCATCGGTCCTTAATAAGTATACCAAATTTCTAGTTAATCCGACGTTTTGAAGGGGGTCAAAATCATGTTCAAAGATTCCGTTACAAACATACATACGACTGAAGCTAATAAAAGCGTATTAAAAAGACAAATGTCGACAACAAACTCTTTAATCTTTACATTAATCACCAGACTTCGGGCAAACTATAATCTAAAGTCTTATCAAATTCAACAATAACAGCGCTTTTGTGCTTGTAATCGAGCGACATTTCGAAGGCGTCCCTTTCGTCAGTCAATTTATCAAAGAAATAACTCGTATTCAATTTAGATTTCATTGAAGCATTAAAACTGTTCTTCGGACTGTCTTTCGGTGTCGAACAATTATTCTGTATATCGCTCAGTACAGTTTTACGTAAAGCGAATTTTGTCGGCGTTGAATATTTATCGAATACAAGTTTGAACGTTTTGTTTTCCACTTTGGCTGTTTCGACTACGGGTGGTCTCGAAATTATAGTCTCTATAATACCTGACAAGTCACTGTGATCTAGTTCGTCTGATTTATTCAGTATGCTCAAAAAGTTTTTATTTTTATTTATTTTTTTATCCTCAGCTATGGACAAATTCTTAAAGCTCCTCCTCACACTCAAGACCAAACTGTTACGCAACGATTTCTTCTTTTTCTTCGCAATAAAACTGTCCATGGTTTTTTGTGTGGACTTCTTCGTGTTTTTCAACTTCCTTTTTAATTTATTCACGGAAACACTGACATTCAGCTTGCTCGAATTCGATTCAAATTTCGAATGTTTATTAGATTCATTTAATATTAAAATTTCAACGTTATTTTTAGGTTTTCTATTATAACGCCTTTTCGGTTTATCTTCCTGTATATTTTCTTTTTCTTCTTTCTTTTTCTTGGTTCTTGATTTCTTTGCTTTTAGAGGTTTCTTTATAGATTCTTCGAATGCCTCAACTATCTTCGGATAAAACTGCCGCATGAGATCTTGTCTCTCTGTTGACGTCCAAACAACAGAGGGATCTTCATCTTCTGCGAACAAATTATTTTTGATATAAGGATTTGTTAAAATTTTCCAATGTCGTTCAAGATTTCGAAATATACCTTCAAATTGATCATCAGGAATTAGTGCTTCGTATACTCCGTTAACGTCAGCCCACACCACTTCGTAACTTGGAACACCTGCATAAAAAAAAAGTATTCTATATTTATGTATTTTTTCTTACCTTATTTTTTTCTATTTAATTTTTCTTAGATTTAGACATATGAATCCCGCGAGTTCGTAATGAAATATTCAATTTTTTTTGCCCTTTTACATTTTATAGTCAAATATATAAAAAAATTCTGAAGATGAATGTTGCAATTTAAAAAAGAAATCACCGTCGTTTCCGTCGAAAATGATTGAACACTCAATTATTAATGTGACTAAATACCAATTCTATTTTCTACAAAAGAATACAAATACAAATTGATTCAAATTTTTTGTGACTGTGTAAGATTGTTTAATTAATAAGTTTAGAGTATTTCCTCATTAGTCATGAAACAAAATCGTATAATAACTTATAATTGCATTCTTTAATTCGCTGCTACACTTACCTCTCGGGTTCCGCTTTTTCTTTATACGAATCGGTTGCACGGTTCTAGACGGAACGCGTTCTTGTAAATGAAATTTCGTTAGCAACGGCAAGAATTTCTCGACGCAGTACCGTTCCGACCAATCAAGTTTCTTCACCATTAATTTCTGTGAATAATCATAGAACTTAAAATACAAATTATTTATTAATTGCAACTAGCAACCACTGAACCTTGCCGCCTATCTATACCGTAAAGCAATCATGCCAATTTTTACCAAAAAAAAAAAACTACATAAATACATCCAGAAAACAATCAAAAAATGAACAGAGCCACTATCTATGGCTTAAAGCAATTATGCCAATTTTTACCCAAAAAAAAAACTACATAAATACATCCAGAACATAACTAACAAATGAACAAAGCCACATCTGTCTTAAAGCAATCAGCGAATTTTTGCCCAAAAAAAACTACACAAACACATCCAGAACACAATTAACAAATGAATAAAGCCACTACCTATGACTTAAAGCAATCAAGCTAATTTTTTCTCAAAAAAAAGCTACACAAATACATCCAGAACACAAATAACAAATGAACCAAGCCACTATCTTTACGCCTTAAAGAAATCATGCCAATTTTTACCCAAAAAAAAAACATAAATACATCCAGAACACATTTTCAAATGAACAGAGCCACCCAGCAAAATTTATTACCACAAACTGTATCAAACTCGGAACCGGCGTTTTCAAGCTGTCCAACTCAATTTTTTCAATGGTGGGCTTCAAAAACTCCTTCATAACTCTCGGCTCGGGGAACAGAACGCCGCTCGACAGGGCCCGGCTGCGAAGTGACAGCTCTCGCTTCGCTTCCGCTACTTTCGACCTGTAAAAGAATCGACTTTTCACAAAATGAATTTCCTTGTTCGTTCGCGCATCGTACCTACTTATCGACGCGTCACTTTTGCTTGAAAAACAAAAAAAAATTGTCATTTTCCTCAACTTTAACCTCTAAGTGGACAACGGTGTTTTCACATTGGTAAATTTTTAATGCGTAGAAAACCACTTGTCTGTATGAATAAGGAGTTCTTGGTCATGTTATAATTTTCGTAATTGCAGGTGGTAGGACGTCTTGTGAAGCAATAATGCGTTTCGGTTTGAAGGGTGGGGCAGCCGTTGTAACTATACTGAGACCTTAGAACTTATATCTCAAGGTGGGTGGCGCATTTACGTTGTAGTTGTCTGTGGGCTTCAGTAACCACTTAACACCAGGAGGGCTGTGAGCTCGTCCACCCATCTAAGCAACAAAAATGATGATATATCAGAGTTTCATATCGGAACGTATACCTATTCGTTTAAATACACATGCGTTTCATTCAAAACAAAGAAACCATATTACCTACCGAATAAGCTTCGTTATTTCGAAGCAAGACCTTTAATGAGATAAATTAAGTGGCAATTACTTATGTCCGAGATCGTTGCAGCCTCGGTCCGTGGCGCAAACGGGGCATCCATTCCTGAGGTGTGTGCGTCCGACGTGACCGCAGCGGTCGCAGCGTCCCGGGGCGGACGCCCAGCGAGCCCGCCTCTCGTAACAATCGGGATCCGACACCCACGATAATAACCTGTTTGCGGCCGCTGTGTTTGAATGTGACAAGACAACACGTGCGGTTTCGTTCGACTAAACTGAATTTAATAATTTTACGTGAATTTTGTTAAAGTGTGATGATTACCTACATTATTCGATACATTATTAGCCTTATCAATGGACAGTGTGCACGCTCTTACGGATCCACCCGATCCACTGACTTTTATTAGACGCCTGCAGCTCTAACACATCAGGCATGGGGACCCTGTGTGCTTTGTGCGAGTTTTTTAACGTTCTCGATAGCGTAAACGTTAATTCAAATTTGTATGGAGTTGGAACGTTTGCGTACGTTGGCCGCTAGGGGTGCTGTTCCAACTGCATACAAATTCGAGTTACCTTTTACGCTATCGAGAACGTTAAAATACTCGCACTGAGCACAATGATAGCTGTACGAACAAATCTAAGAATTCAACGTGAAACGTAGACTATAGCCCGTTATGTTTCCCGTCGGATCTTTTCAGCTGGTCACGATTGCGATCCGGTAGTAGATATATTCACGAGGCAGCCCTTTCTTCGTAGTTATAACAGCTTATTTTATATAGCATTTATGTCTAGTTTGTATTTTATGCAACTAGTAATCGAAATAAAATGTAAATGTTTACTACATCTTCTGGAAAAAAAACCCTACCTATTCGTTGGTAGCCTAAGAGACCATTCCAGCTTCGCGCGGACAGATGGTAAGCTCACGGGCTCAACTTGAGAGAATTTACTAACACTAACCGAAGCAAGAGCAGTGCTTCACAGAATCTACCACTGGTTCGAAATCGGGATCCACTGAAGAACCGGCGAGAAACTCAGTGGACTGTTTCTATGGGTTAGTTCGCTCGTCAAACTCTTCGTCGTAATCGAAGAGTTCAACAAGGGCATTGACCGATGCTTAAGGAGCCTGAAAACACCGAAATTCTTCTGTATAAATAAATGATATAAGTCTGCCGCAGTATGCCCATCTCGATTTTCTTTTTTTTTATTATACCTATAGTCTATATCTAATACACTTGATACTTGATCCTTTTCTAATAACAATCACGCATTCTTCATTCTATTGACTAAAAAGTAATTAAAATGTATCAGCGTATTTACAGTAATACCTACTAGTACCTACTTAGTAGTAGTATTTTTACCTAGGAATTACATCATCATCAGCAACAGTGTGCAAAAATTGCACGGCCGTCGTTATGGACGAACCACACGCGCCCACGACGTAGTCACACCCGCAAAGCAAAGCCAACGCCACCATTTTGTTGCGGCCGAACCCTGAAAAATTCTATAACTAAAAATTCTGTAATCTACAAAATCGACACACCCAAATTTGTATATACATAATATATACATTATATCTAAATATCACCTTATCGGCGTACTTATTGTTGATATTACATTGTCAACGTTTCTTATATGTAGGTACTTAATTTTAGGAAGCCGTACGTTTTCATAATTTTCCTTAACGTAACGTACGTGTTTATCGACGTACGACTTTTGATGTAAACGCTACAAAGGTTTCAACAATTTGTTGAAAATAATAATAACGGTTTGCATTACATTACGTTTCGTGAATTTGAAGGTTTCGTTTACATCAGCTGGATAGAGATCAAATGATATTTTTGAACGAAGTTCCTTATGGGACGATGGGGAGGGGTCCCTAACCGGGAAAAGACGTCCGTAACGTAAGATTTTTATTAGTAATGCACACAGTGTACATTATAACTTTTGTAATAACGTACAAAAATAACATATTTTTATTATATATTTTTTATAAATCATTGTGAATAAAATAAAGTTGATAACTTCGTAAAGTAGTCGTTTTTTTTTATCAATAAAAAATCATAATAAAAAATGTATACCCGAATAATTATTTTCTTTATACCTCGAATAGAACTTAAAATTAATATTTTTATAATAAGGAACTTCGGTCCTATCCGGTGTCCCACGACACCACACATCTTTTTTTAAGAGATTACCATTCGACTTGTACAGTTTTTCGGCGTCATAGCAGTCAACAGAGCCCTGCATCGCACCTCCGCCGGCTGAACTCGACACGCTAAAGTTTCGGTACACTCGTTTCGCTCCGTAAGCAAAACAATCCGAATCTTGGGAGACAACTGCATCGACGAACTACACCAAAAGTATGTTTTAAATGTACGACAGTGTATGTACAAATCAAAGAAACTCATTGTAAGTTTCCAAATAATAGGTTTGTTGTTTGTTTCCAAATTTTGTTGTAAAATAAAAATAAACTCATTAATTTAATATCATTGAATTATGAAAATTCAGAAGAAACTACAACCAAACAATTGGTATCTGGTTACAAACACAACATCTGTTAGAGTACAAAAGAGAATCATTTAAGAAATAGTGTCTAAAACTCAAAGAATCGTAAATTGAAGGTTCTGATGAGTTTCACATGCAAAAATTTCCATGCACTATTGTTTAAGCTATTACTATAATATGTTTACTGCTATGTACTAAACTACTTAATCCCTTCTTTTTTTTAAACAGATATATTAATAAATGTATATATTTTCTACATTGTTTAAGCACATACACCTTCAGCATTTAATTGGGCACATGTTGCTTCAGCTTCTCCGCTACCTTTAAGACATATCACTCCCATACTCTTGAGAAGAGTTTCACACTGAAAAAAGTAATTTTCACATTTTCCTAACATATTCAAGTTATCTTTGCATTACTTTGAGTAATTACTAGAGTGATCCACATACTTCCTTTAAAACATTTTTAAATCTCTTTCTGGAAACATTAGGCAGTTTTTCACTTGAACAAGCCTTCTCAGATCTGGGTGCGGCACCACGAAATTGGACAGCATTTCGAGTAGCCATTACATCTCTTTTGAGTTCTGGTGCATCTCCTTCCAATACAAATATAGGATTTATTTCAGCCAATAGCAGATACGCCGTTCTGAAGAACAGGTTTCTAAAATAAAATTTTGTTATTTGTTATTTTGTATTTTATTAAGATTTTCTGTCATTTCTATTTTCTTTCATTTGTTTTAACACACCAATAGTGGATTCTGTTAGATCTGATATTTTATTTAATGTACAATAAAGTGTTTATATTTAAATAATTTATGTATAAATATTTTTTAAATTCAACATCACAAAACAGAAATTAAAATCCTTTCTTTTTGCTTGCAAAATAAACAATTAAGAAAGATGTCTTACAAAGTTGTCTAATCCAGTAGTCAGTAAGTTTATCATCCAAAAGAGCCAAATGTATATAGATAATACATGTTGGAAATTTATTCAGAGCCATTTTTATAGCCTTGCATTTCAAAAATGTTTATATCTATGTCTCTTACAAGGCAAGATAATCAGTAATTTTCTACCTGGACCAAACATTTTACGGAAGCTTGAGCATAGCTTCAACTGAGAGTTCAAAAAGCCGCATGGGGATTGCAAGTTGCAGTTTGGCGACCACTGGTCTAATCCCTTTTGCCATTGAGGCCCTTTAGGTAGTATACTATAATATACTTCATGTAAACTGTAATAGACCAAGGTATTTATCATTTATATATTTTTAAGTGTTCTCCTGTCTCTTAACTCCGGTCTTCTAACCTCAGTCTATTTAGTGCATGTGCTAAATGCTTTTGATGATTCCCTATACCCCAATAAATACCCTTATCCTATGGTTATGATTCATAAGAAGATGATCAGAAGACTTCATTATTAATTATGACAAAAGCAAATATGTACTCAATAATTTTCCAACTTTCCAAGCTTTGTATTCCCCATGTTTCTATTTTTTTTATAGAGCATTATTTATTAAGAATATTAACAAATTGGCGAATAAGTAAATTATAAACAAGCAAATAAACCATAACCCACCTAAGATATAATTTCGGTTGGACATGGTGTTCCGTAACATTCTGACTATCACAGACCCAACCAGAGAGGTCTACTGCAATTGTTTCCCCCCGTAACTGAAAATTCCATCCAATTAGTTTCAAACTATATTGTGTTGTTAATTCAAATATTTTATATCAACTCACTTCATGCAAGGATTTCTTTTCACTGAAAGGAGTCAGCACAGACCACAAACCTTTTATACCCATTTCATTTAGACATACTATTACAATAAAACCGTAATAAAATTCCAAAGTTTACGAGTTACTACCCTGATAAGAGCTTAAATGTATAGGTTACTGGTATTTTGTGTGATTATTTATTGATGTAACAGCTACTGCTATTTTTGCTGGATATATATCGCAATTTATGAACTTTGTAGTTAGTAAATCGTATTACATATAATCATAGACGTTACACTTAATATTTCAGTTTTATTCTTATAATGTTTATATGATATTTTGACTTTCGCAGAAAATTAACCATTTATTTTGAATTTTTAAACCTAATCATACAACGACAATTTCAATATTGCCATCATAGATAATATTAGATAATACACTAAATATTCAAGAATTGCCAATATTGCCGTCATATCATCGTACCATAGAGTTACTATTTATTAACTCCATGCATCGTACACACATAATTTGGATGTGATTTATGGTGTTTTGAATAGAAATAATGCTAGCCTGCCAGGCTGAGCCTCGTGAGCTCATCTACTCGCTATGCTAAAGCTGGTATAACCCCTCGAGTCTACCAGCATAAGTCTTGTAGGCATAAAAAATGCTAGCTGTTCAAAGACAGTCAATCGAATGGTTATTATACATCGTTTTTAATTTAGTTTATTACCAATAATTATGAATGCTGGTACTTTTACTGAAACTATACTTCATTCCATCTCATCTCATTTATGTAGTATTTTCATCCTAATTGATTAAAGTATTCAAATAATTTTTCATTTAGGAGAATATTAGAAGGAAAATAAGACTTAACTTAAAGGTCTCGAAACAAAGCCATAAATTCTTCAAAAAAAAACCACAGCTCACTGATTATATTCATTGAATTGACAATTGACATACCGGTAAAATGGGGCGATTAGGGATTGAGAGGCGAATCGGGAAAAAACCGGGAAAATCTTTCGACGCTCAATATAAGTTTTATATCCCTTGCAAAATCTTCCATTTTTTGTAGTTTAATAGTAGAATGTTGAAAGTTCACAAAACAACTCTGAATATGCATGATAATAGCTGCTAACTTATAAAAAATCGCGTTTCAAATTAACTTCCTGTGGTGGTAATTATTTTAGTGCTAGAAACTTTGCTCTCTTTTATTTATTTGATAATAACAGAAGATGACTATGATTTATAAACGTTATTTAGTGTTTGAACCAGCATATATATTAAAAGTAAGTCTCAGTTGTTATTGGTTTTAATGTATTTGATTAAATAAAAATACATGTAAAAATCTGTTGTTTTTGGGGATATTGGGGACGTCTTAGGTACAAATAACAACGAAAAAGGGGTCAATTGGGATGAGAATACGTGAAATGGAAACGACCTAAGTATAAATAGGTACAGGTTTGTAGGGTTGTCTATGTAGTTATAACAATATTTTTTAAATTTGTTGGTAAAAATCTGGTTTATTCGAAGCGAAATTGGGAATAAGTCTTTAGTTGAAATAGATAAGCAATTTAATATAAGTAAGTCGATTTTGCAGAGACATGTAACAAGATCAATGAAATCTCAAGGTGGACAAAAATGTCTAAGTAATACATAATAAAATATTTAATATTTGTTCAGAGTGGGGGTATTCATCTGATTAATCCATGGAATAACCGACACACCTAATCTCTTAACCCAGATAGAAATATCAGCACTGTCGATTGCACCTATAATTGAGGTGATGTCTGCCATGTACTTTTGTCAGTTTTTCAATTTTTTTTATTGATGATCACTTTGTTGGTGCAACTAAATAAATAAATAAATTAAAACTATATATAAAAATAAAAGTAGTGCCAACCCTAGCAAATTTCTCATTTCGTCCCAATTAACCGCAATTTTCGGGTAAATAGGGATTACACCTATTTTTGCATTTTTTGCTTAAACTGGAATGCTAGTTGCATAATTTTAAATTAGACAACAAAGATGCCCCCAAGACTCAATCATTTTGATCCTGATATAGCATTATATACATCAACAACTACCTTAAAATTGCTCATAAAGTTGGAATTTGTCCCTAATCGCCCCATTTTACGGTACCTACCTAATCAAACTTTTGTTTATAAAATGTAGGTAGTGTGTTGGTTTGATTAAAATTATAATAATAGTGCCTAGTATTTATTTTTCCTAAATAGACACTATAAATTTAATATATTGATTTTTAAAAGCATCATAGCCTAAATTTCGCTAAAGTTTCATTATAATCATAAATTCCCTACTAAATCTTAACAATAATTATGGTTGTTGACATTTAACTGATAAGACACTTGTTTTTAACAGTAATTAATTATTCAGTGATTTTGTTAAGTCACTTTTTATCAGTAAGTTACGTACATAAAGAGGGGCCTGGCGACAAACGTAATCTCTCAATTTATCTTGGTAAAACGAAGATAATATTGTACTGATTTAGTTCATTTTAATTACATATTATTATACCTAAATAATAGCTAAAAAGCGGTTGACTTTAAAAATGCATTATTTACGCTATCTTTATAGAAATAGGTGAGTTGTAAAAGGCATATTATGATTACTGATAGCCAATTAATTAAAGTGTTGTTTTGTAACTGTTTAATGTGTATATAAGTAAAAGAAAAATTGAATTATTCTTAATCACGTGAAAAAGGATGAAATGTTTTCCTAACCTTTTTAACTGTAATGTTTAAGAGTGTAAATCAAAATTACTCTAGCTAGTAGTAACAAACAAATTCCCATTTAGGCATGTGTATGTCTCTATTAAGTGTGAGCTTTGTAGCCTGTTAATTATAACAATTTAATTTTTTCGTTGAGTAACAAGTATTGTAAGTATTGCTCATTGATTATCTGGAAGAGACTGCTTAGATTCATAAGAGTGCCTTTTTGATTATAAATAAAAACTAAATGTGAAAAAACATTGAAACTACAATTTTTTTTAAAAACTTAGTTAGCACTTCACTATATTATTAATGGCTATTTTTTTTAAATCTGACTGCCAGTTATTACTGTTCACATTATTAAACTTTTTAGTCCACTGACAACACTTCAGAACAATATAAGGTACAACCATGCACAAATCAAAGAGAAAGTTCAAAGAACACAGATCAGCAAAGTATTGATAGCAAACAGAGGGGAGATAGCATGTCGGGTCATGAGAACTGCAAAGAAATTGGGAGTCAGGACAGTGGCTGTTTATTCTGATGCCGACAGACATGCTATGCATGTTGAAATGGTATAATCTAATTATTTTTTCAATATTGTTTTTCCAACATTTTAATGTGTCGAAGACTAGAAAACTGCTCAAAACTACAATATGACTTACATTAGATAAAAAAATTCATGAAAAATTGACCAAAGCAGGAATAACATTTTTCTTAAAATTTTCACAGGCAGATGAGGCTTACCACATTGGGCCTGCACCTTCCACACAAAGCTATCTAAATGCATCTAAAATTCTTGAAGTAGCTAAAAAGTCTAACAGTCAAGCTATACATCCAGGCTACGGATTTCTATCTGAAAATGTTGAATTCTGTGAAAAATGTGCTTCTGAAGATATTATATTCATTGGCCCACCACCTTCAGCTATTAGAGATATGGGTATCAAAAGGTAAAGTTAATTAGCATGGATTTTAAATAGTAAACTTCAATAATCAACGTCTTCAATCTACCTCATGCAATTGTAGAACCTTTTTGTTGTGTAATATATACATATTAAGGAGTGAAATGCCATTTGTTTTAAGCAACATTTTTGCAACTTTACAGGAGAGCCATTAAAAGTTTAAAATTAGGAAAAAATATCACAACAAAAAAACTTGTTCAGCTATTTGAATGTAGTAAACTTAATTAAAGTTCAACTAAAAACATCGAATTTCTGATGCTAATACCGAATAAAACAGACCTTTACTTACAAAGATAAATGTCTCGTATTAAGCAAAAAATAGCCTTTCACCTTCATCAATACAGATTTTCATCAATATAGATAGTGATTGAGCCTCTGCCTGTTTAGTGTTAACCATAACCCAAGAACATTAAAATATTAGTGCTAAAACTCTTCTGTTAACATGAGGACAATATATACCTAGTCAGGTCATAAGTATTGTCACACAGTAAAAACTTTTCTTTTAGAATGCTGGCCACAAAAAAGTTTATTGAATTCGAATTTCGAATTGTTCATGAAAATAAAAATAGTATACATTTAGAATTTTACTTCTTTTTTAAATATGGAGTGGACGCTTAAAGAAGACCGTGTTGCAGTTATTGCGTTGCATCGTTGCGGTTACGCGCCAATTCAAATTTTTAACATACTGAAAAATTTTAATATAACCAAAAGATTCGTTTATCGTACCATCAAACGATACAATGAAGACTCTAGTGTAGATGACAGGTCAAGAAGTGGTCGCCCTCGGTCTGTTAGGATTNAAAAGATTCGTTTATCGTACCATCAAACGATACAATGAAGACTCTAGTGTAGATGACAGGTCAAGAAGTGGTCGCCCTCGGTCTGTTAGGATTCCAGCAGTGATAAAAGCTGTGAAGGCGCGAATTCAAAGAAATCCCAAACGTAAGCAGAAACTGTTGGCCCTTCAGATGGGGTTAAGCAGAACCACGGTGAAAAGGGTTGAGGGAGCTCATATAGAGTCCCTTCTTTATTTCGCCTGGTTGTGTTTTATGTAATTAACACCACAGTTGGAACAATATAAATTTTATTGTTGTAGCGGCATAAAGTAATTACATTAAATTAGTTATTATCACATTATAAATTATTTTTATGTTTTTTATATTTGGCGGTAAAAAGGTATGGTGGCACAGACTATCTCCTTTTTCCCACATCTCGTGCGTTCCGGCTTACGCATAATAAAACGCCACAGGGTGTTGAATGAAGACTTAGGGCTTCGGGCATATCGAAGAAAAACAGGACATCGTTTGAATGCTCGTCTAATGGACCTGAGACTGAAGAGATGCCGCGCTTTGTTGAAGCGGTACGCGGGAAAAAAATATCGGGAAATTCTTTTTTCGGATGAAAAAATTTTTACCGTAGAAGAGAGCTACAACAACAAAAATTATAAGGTGTACGCACACAGTAATGAAGAAGCGAGCAACCGTATTCCGCGTGTCCAACGAGGTCATTTTCCATCCTCGCTCATGGTATGGTTGGGAGTTTCTTATTGGGGCTTAATAGAGGTACATTTTTGTGAGAAAGGTGTAAAAACGAATGCAGTTGTGTATCAAAATACAGTCCTGACGAACCTTGTGGTACCTGTTTCTCATACCATGTTCAATAACAGGCACTGGGTATTCCAACAAGATTCGGCGCCAGTTCATAGAGCGAAGAGCACACAAGACTGGCTGGCGGGGCGTGAAATCGACTTCATCCGGCACGAAGACTGGCCCTCCTCCAGTCCAGATTTGAATCCGTTAGATTACAAGATATGGCAACACTTGGAGAAAAAGGCGTGCTCAAAGCCTCATCCCAATTTGGAGTCACTGAAGACATCCTTGATTAAGGCAGCCGCCGATATTGACATGGACCTCGTTCGTGCTGCGATAGACGACTGGCCGCGCAGATTGAAGTCCTGTATTCAAAATCACGGAGGTCATTTTGAATAAACTTTAGTGTCATAAGAATCTATGTTTTGTTAAGTTCATTTTGGTATATGAATGGTTACATAATGAATAAACTTGTTTCAATTATTTTACCTTAAACATGTGACAGAATTTATGACCTGACTATGTATAATGATTGTTCACAAAATTTAAAAGACAGTTGTTATATCTACGAGCAGCTCAAACGAAATATGTAATGTGAAAAACTTACATCAGTCAATGTGGAGCCAAGTTGACACTTACATGTAAATTACTGAAATCTGAAACCACAGTACTGTTTACCCTGTATCTGTATAATAAAGAATTTTACAAAAATACACCATTAGTATTTAGGCTTCCCTGTAATTAAAAATGTATATATTATAAAAATTGTTTTATAAAGTAAAACAAGAATTTACTTAATTTAAAAATTTGTATATTGTTCTTAACTAATTTGTGATTCTTTATTTTTTTAGTACGTCAAAAGCTATTATGTCAGCAGCCGGTGTACCCATTGTTAGAGGATACCATGGTGAAGATCAGAACATTGAGAGACTGAAAGCTGAAGCCCAAAGAATTGGTTTCCCACTTATGATCAAGGCTGTCCGGGGGGGCGGAGGAAAGGTACAATCTATTTAAATTCACCTTCAATGCGTATATCTTTATTTTATCATTTTAGTAGAAATGGTGAATTGATTTTGAACCATCTGTGGTGAAATAAAATATTGAAGACTTCACCATTCCGCTGGGTTTTTCATCTAAAACATTAATATTGGCTTACTTGATGTAAAATATTAAGAAAAAAATGGATGTAACCTTTCAATAATACATTAATGACTGGTTCAAAAACCATGAAATGTCTATAAGTGTTTATAAAATTCAATACAAAATTTCAAATGGTAATAAATATCTCACACCAAATGTTTTGAGACTTCCACCCATTTTTTTTTCTTAATCTTTTTTATTTGTTTTCAGGGTATGAGAATCGCAATGACCGAATCTGATTTCCTTCCGCAATTGGAATCGGCGAAGAGAGAATCGCTTAAATCATTTGGAGATGATAATATGCTGCTCGAACAATACATTACGGATCCAAGGCATGTGGAAGTTCAGGTGTGGTGAATAATTTTTCTTTTTAAATGTCAATATTATCTAGTTAGTTCACCACACATTATACAAGTATTATATAAATTATATTAACTGTAAAAAAAATTGTAAAACCATATTTTTTTATTTCGTATCAGAGGCTAATGTAAAAAAAAACTCATTTCAGGTGTTCGCAGATATGCACGGAAATGCTGTTCATCTTTTTGAAAGAGATTGTTCAGTACAGAGACGACACCAGAAGATCATAGAAGAAGCTCCGGCAGTGAGTGTTTTTTTTAAATTCCAAATTCATTTAATCTCAAACCTAATTGAAGTCGTCGTGGCCTAAAGGATAAGACGTCCGGTGCATTCATATCTAGCGATGTATCGGTGTTTGAATCCCGCAGGCGGGTACCGATTTTTCTAATGAAATACGTGCTTAACAAATGTTCACGATTGACTTCCACAGTGAAGGGATAACATCGTGTAATAAAAATCAAACCAGCAAAACTATAATTTGCGTAATTACTGGTGGTAGGACCTTTTGTGAGTCCGCGCGGATAGGTACCGCCACCCTGCCTATTTCTGCCGTGAAGCAGTAATGCGTTTCGGTTTGAAGGGTGGAGCAGCCGTTGTAACTATACTGAGACCTTAGAACATAGATCTCAAGGTGGGTGGCGCATTTACGTTGTAGATGTCTATGGGCTTCGGTAACCACTTAACATCAGGTGGGCTGTGAGCTCTTCCACCCATCTAAGCAATAAAAAAAAAAGACAAACTATCATCATAATATATATTCTGTCTTCCAGCCTGGGCTTTCTGAAGAGACTCGTAGAGCGTTAGGTGAAGCCGCAGTTCGCGCCGCCAAGGCCGTGGGCTACGTAGGAGCCGGCACAGTAGAGTTCATCCTTCATAGAGTCACACACGAATTCCACTTCATGGAGATGAACACGCGTCTTCAAGTCGAACATCCAATCACGGAAATGATAACTGGTAATTAATTTAATTAAAATAGATTTATTTTTAAATTAAATAAATTGATATACTAATGTATGTATAATGCAAACGTGTTTGGTTTGGAATACCACCACCGTGTCTCTTCTATTGAATGTCATGAAATGACTAAGAGATTCACTGGAGAATAAGCGGAAGCCTTCTTTGAGTATTATATATGCATACATATACGTTGTACATAAATACGAGAGGAGATCAAAACTTGTGTCTGAAGTGGAGAACTCTCTGGGGCGTGTCTCCAAGTGGAGTAAACTGAATTCAGTTCAGTTCAACCCATTGAAGACACGGGCTTACGCGTTCAATGCGAAGGGCCCTTTTGTCATAGCGCCGCAATTTCAAGGAGTAGTACCTACCCCTGCAGCTTTCCTCGAGTATAGGGATTCTGGGGATCGATATTTCGAGCGATGTCCAATTTCGGAGTCATTTGGAAGGTAAAGCGAAATTAGCCTCTAAAAGGTTAATTAAAAAAAACGACAATTTACCCGAGAAAATTAAGTGTAACGAGTGACTCTTACCACTATAAGCACAGTCTTACCGAATAAGACTAACTCATTATTGCAGATGCAATTCGACAATTACGCAAAAAACTTATTTTCTGTGCCAAACGCATACATACGAAAAAGTCTCTGTTATTAGTCAAGGGACTACATGAAATACAATAATCAACTGCGACAATTTTTTTCAATGTACATATTATAATTATTCAATCACCGCACATGAACAAGCGTGAATACACAGTCACAAATAATCAGTTTTTATTATCAACGCACCGATGACCACTGTGGGACATAATATACATAGATACACGCATGTAAACACATAATCATGATTTCTAGGCACAACATTTGTTTACACAGTTTTACATTATTACAAAAATTGTAAAATCCTGTTTTGGTCTTATTTGTTCGTATTTATAATATGGTATTTGGGTAACAATTTGTTTTTGTTAAAAAAATATCAGAATTCATTTGAAAAGTACCAAACAACCAATTTGGGTACGTACCTGGGATTACTTGCTATCTCTTTCGCACGCAAGCACATTAATTACGGTGACGTCATTATGCGAATCTTTTTTTTTTGTTATTCGCTAACAACCACTGAATCTTAAACATTCCCTTTTCAGGTACTGATTTAGTGGAATGGCAGCTCCGCGTGGCCGCCGGTGAGCCCCTGCCCGTCACACAGGAAGACATCGTCCGGAACGGCCACGCGGTCGAGTGTAGGATATACGCAGAGGAGCCCGCGGCCGGCTTCCTGCCCAGAGCCGGTACACTGCACAGGCTAACGCAGCCTATCGCTGAAGAGTTTGTACGGGTGAGCCTATTAGCTCTTATGACGTCACAATGTTGTCAACGTACCACGAGCAGTCATACGTTCCGAAGAGTTTTATGTTCCAAATCAGGTGGCGGTATTCACGTTGGAAGATCTCAGAAACGATTCACACAAACCGAACTGTGGTCTTGTTTTCATTAATCTTTTTTTTTATTGCTTAGATGGGTGGACGAGCAATAAATGCGCCATTCACCTTGAAATAAGTTTTAAGGTCTCAGTATAGTTACAACGGCTGCCCCACCCTTCAAACCGAAACGCATTACTGCTTCACGGCAGAAATAGGCAGGGTGGTGGTAAGTACCCGTGCGGACTCACAAGAGGTCCTACCACCAGTAAATGTATTTCATATGCATATATCAATATGTCAATATCGATAGCGCTGATCATAGTGTCGCGAATTAATCGTTTGTGAATCCCAGTTCTGTCAAATTCTACATACCTACTGTTTTCTAATTAAATTTTGTATATAAAATGGTTTTTATTCTTCGCAGCTCTTTAGACAAGTCTTAAAATTCAAGTACTTTTTGTATGCTTGTTTAATTTTCAATTACTTCATTATCATATTTCAACATTAATGTTAAAGTAATATGTGTGCTTAGTGCGAGTTTTTTAACGTTCTCGATAGCGTAAAAGTTAGCTCATATTTGTATGGAATGGGATCGCCTGCGTACGTTTGCCGCTAGGGGCGCTGTTCCAACTGCATACAAAAATGAGTTAACTCTTACGCTAACGAGAACGTTAAGAAACTCGCACTAAGCACACTGAATACACTATCGCTTTGATTTACGTTCTTTATTGACATAAACATTCTGGAACTAATTAGGTGGAAACCGGAGTACGCGAAGGACAAGAAGTATCAGTGCACTATGATCCGATGATAGCGAAGCTGGTTGTGTGGGGACGCGATCGAACCGAGGCACTAGCGAAAACAAAGGCAAAACTTACCGAATATCAGGTGATTGAAAAATAAGATTCTTATTAATAATTTATTATCTTATATGTACATGTTATATAAAAATACACAGTATGTACATGTTATATAAAAAAATATAGTTTAACATACTAGCCAATTAAAGACTGATGCAGAAAAACTTTACGCAGAAATGTGAAATCTATACTCTATACTAATATTATAAAGAGGAAAGATTTGTTTGTTTGTTTGTTTCGAATAGGCTCCGAAACTACTGGACCGATTTGAAAAATTATTTTTCCATTAGAAGCCGACACTGTCCCTGATGTTCATCAGGGACAGTGGCTACTTTTTTTTTTTTTGGTTTCATGTGTGTTTTAATGTTTCCGAAGCGAAGCGAGGGCGGGTCGCTAGTTAAAACTAAATTTAGTTCTTAAATAAAATGTAGCATACTAGGTTGTTTTTTTTTTGATTAGTTGATACTATAATATAAAAAAGGTAAAGTCGGATTTATTATTAATTCAATAAAACATCATCGTAATCACAAATTGATTTGACGAACATTGGTTGTATCAAAAATGAAACTAGCTATAATTACACAACACTAAATTTTGTATTGTGTACCAATAACATAACTGACCACAGACAATAGTAATCTGTGCCACAGATAACTTCTAGTAAAGCGTGACGTGTGACGTCATTGCCTCATCATTGAATGTCAATTTATTTTTGACAATTTCAAACTAGCATTTTTATTGACAGGTAGCTGGTCTAGAAACAAACGTCAACTTCCTCCTGCGGCTGAGCGGCGCGAGCGCGTTCGTAGCGGGAGATGTTCACACAGCGTTCATACCGCAACACGAGGCCGAATTATTCCCAAAATCCGACACTGTGCTGAATGAGAACCGCGCTATTCAAGCTGCTCTGGGACACGTAAGATTAATATTATAGCCCTAGCTTTAGCCCACGACTCCGTCCGCGTGGAATAGTTCCTTTGGCATAACGCTAAATTTTACCCCCACTTCATTTACGTAGAAAGTGAAAATATTTTTGAATTATAGAATGTTAAGGAGCTATTTAAGCCCCTATTTCGAAACATTATTTATTGGTGCTCTACTTGTATTGGCCTTACCGTGATGTTATATAGCCTATAGCCTTCCTCAATAAATGGGTTATCTAACACTGAAAGAATGTTTCAAATCGGACCAGTAGTTCCTGAGATTAGCGCGTTCAAATAAACGAAACTCTAGCTTTGTAATATTAGTATAGATATGCGATAATACTCTGGCTACGTGAATAACGTTCGTCACGTTAAAGAGAACTTAGAACTTATACATCAAAATGGGCCATACTGAGACCTTAGAACTTATACATCAAGATGGGTGTCCCATTTACATTGTAGATGTCTATGGGCTCCAGTAACCACTTAACGCTTGGTGGGCTGTGAGCTCGGCCACCCATATAAGCAATAAAAAAAAAGTTAAAAAAAATTAGAATTAAACCGAAAATATCCCACGAATTGCTTCACGTAACTCATTAAATGTAATTTTCATTGAAAGTTAATTTTTAGTTTCTTACGACTTGGGTACTTCAATCACGAGCGCGTGCAAATATCTACATCCCTTATCTGATGTGATAATGCCACACAATAAATATGTTTATAAAAATCATAATAATAAGAAAATTTTCTCTATTTATTATTTTTTTATTTGTAACTATGATTATTTTATTTATAATAATATATTCGTGAACATTAACAATACACTTTTAAAACTCCTTTTATTTTCACAGCTTCTGGTGTCACAAGCTCAACTTGCCACCAACGATAGCTGGAAAGGCATTTCTGTGCCGTCTACCGCTTTCAGACCGAACTACCAGTTACAGAAGACCGTGCCATTGAGATTTGATGAAAAAGGTGAGCAGGAATGACTTTGTCGTTACAACGTCGATAGATGGCGCTGATATTTTTGTTCATGATAGGTTTGTCGGATGCCTTTCGTCCACGCGTAGCTGGAATAGCCCCGTAGATTACCAGCTTATAGGGGTGAAAGTATGCCTTTTTATTAGCAAAGTACCCGCGTAGCTGTAATAACCCCTTAGATCACCAGTTTATAGGAGGGGCAAAAAAAGGATGCCTTTTTAACTGCAAAGTGACAGTCATACCTAATTCTCACTAGTCCTGGCGAAACTGCATAGATTTTCAGGCGACCGATTGATATCTCTTTGTTTTTTTTATTTATTTCCCTAACTAATCTATAGTAGCTTAAGGGGCTACGCCAACCATTCGCGCTTTTAGTAGACATTTTTTGACCACTGTGATGAACGACAAAGGGAAGATCTTCCACAAAAAGGTGTTGTTAGTGGGTAGACTGACAGTGCCATAGAGAGATTTTTGAAACTGTCCGAATATTGTTGTTCGGAACTCAAACAATACATATATTAAAACTTATTTTGTAACAAAATCTTTACCGCGACTCAGGTTTTACTCTACTTCTACGTTGTAGATATCTATGAGCTCCGATAGCCATATCACACAACGCGGCGAGCTCGTTCATCCGTTTAAGCAATAAAAAAAGAAAATCTAAACCTCGGGACGCCCAACAGAAGTTAAGACCCAAACTAATCTAAGTTGAACTATTTAATATTGAAATTATTTAAGTTGAGAAAATCCTAGGTTATAACTTAAAATTTATGTATTAATATGATATGAAAATTGAAAAATATATATAAATAATTAGGAGGTACGTACATTCTCAGTACCGCTGCCGTATGCGTGAGAGAAAGGGAAGTCAGACAGATTGGCGCCGTAACGCGTTACGTAACGAAATGACTTACCTTCTCTTAAGAAGTTATGTTATCACTTCAAGAAACCTCAATAATAAATCAGCTCCGATGCTCCGCGATGCATATTGGAATGTCGTTTCGTGCGGGCTCGAAACGCGCACGGCGGGATCAATGCAATATGCTCTGCGTCAACCCTGTCTCGCCGTCGCAATTTAGCCCACTGAGTTTCTCGCCGGATCTTCTCAGTGGGTTGTGTTTCCGATTCGCTGGTAAATTCTGCGAACACCGCTCTTGCTAGGGTTCGTGTTAGCAACATCATCAGGTTTGAGCCTCGTGAGCTCACCTACTGGTTAAGGTTACGCGGATATGGTCTCTCTAGATAATCAGCATAGGTAGGAAAAACATATCCCATCCGCGGGGCGGGTGGGGATCCTGTACAAAGCCCATTACCTGGCCCATTACCAAAACTGTTTAATTCCAGATTTCACAGTCACTGTGCAGTACACGGACGTGCCTAATACGTATCGAGTACAAGTCGGCGACGGCGAGTGGAGGAGCGTGGAAGCTTACCTCAGCAGTAACGAGAAAGGCCTACGATTGAACGCTTTGATCGATGACAAGATCAGCAACATCGGACTGCTGACGTACGAACAACAAGTTCACGTGTACGACGAGGTATTCTAAAATCCTTACTTAAAAATTATAATAACGTCTTGCAAGGTTTTTTTTTTTTCGTATACGCACAAGAGCATACGGCCCACCTGATGGTGAGTGGTTACCGTTGCTCATGGACGTCAGCAATGCCAGGAGCAGAGTCAAGCCGCTGCCTACCGTTTAATACTCTCCACAAGCCTCGTTTGAAGAAGGACATGTCATAGCGCATGTTCCCGAAATAGAATCAAATCGAAATTCCAGTCTCTCCGACTTTAGAAACTTTCACTTCAAAACTAATAAATGTTTGAAATACTTACGGGCTTACATGTAGATATTTCACTATAATTAATTCCAATATAGGAATTATCCAAAAATAACCCCCAATCTTTAATGTGTGTTAAAAATTATAACTAAAGTGCTAAAACTAGTATTTATACTGAAGAAGGAACTGAGTCACCTTTTTTCCCTGGGGGGTTCGAGACCTGAAGCCCGAACAGAAAAATCGTTCATAAAATATAATATACTAGCGACCCGCCCTCGCTTCGCTTCGGAAACATGAAATTTTATTATTGATTATTTACGACATCACATTAGAAACCTCATAACAGTATTTCTCCACTATTTAATGGATGTTATTATACATATAAACCTTCCTCTTCAATCACTCTATCTATTAAAAAAAACCGCATCAAAATCCGTTGCGTAGTTTTAAAGATTTAAGCATACATAGGGATATAGGGACAGAGAAAGGGACTTTGTTTTATACTATGTAGTGATTGATTGAAGAAATAAAATACTTTTGCTCTTAAAGGAAGCACTGTAGATTGGACGCTATAGGTGTTATAGTAACCACGAAAAATGGCGTCATTTCTTTGCTACAGCTCGCTCTCTTTCCAGCTTGAAATTACATCCTACTAATGTTATAAACGCGAAAGTTTTTAAGAATGTATGGATGTATGTTTGTTATTCATGTAAAAACTAATAATGGATTTTGATGAAACTTTACAATAATATGGCTGACACATCAGAATAAAACATAAGCTATCTATACTAATATTATAAAGAGGAAAGATTTGTTTGTTTGTTTGTTTCGAATAGGCTCCGAAACCACTGGACCGATTTGAAAAATCCTTTTTCCATTAGAAGCCGACATTGTCCCTGATGAACATAGGCTACTTTTTTTTTTTTTGTTTCATGTGTGTTTTAATGTTTCCGAAGCGAAGCGAGGGCGGGTCGCTAGTAATTTATAAAGATATAGTATGAATTACCAAAAATATAATGATAAGTGTCAAGTAAGTAAGAAAAAATCTGCCATCTTATTTTAATAATCAAAAATAAATTACAGTTCCCGAAGCAAAGCGAGGGCGGGTCGCTAGTTTACTATATTCCTTTACATATTTAAAATTTGGTTTCGTTGATATTATTTAAGTGTGTGTATGAATGTATTTCTGGTCAGATTTTATAATCTAATAAAAATAATCAGTGTATCTAGTATGAATTGCAGATAAAAACTGACTGACTGACTGATTTTTTTAACATCAAACGTAAATTTGTGGGCAACCATAAAATTTTTCGACAAGTGTGTATAGTACAAAAATTTCATAAAAATGAGGAAGCTGTTTAATAACTACCCAGACCTTCGATAGATAACGACCTACCGATGATAAATTATAACCATAACCCATATAATCTTGACCGCAACCTTGAGACAAGATAAAAAAATACCTCGGTCACACTTATCTATAGTTACTAAGGAAATATCGATAATTCCAATAGTTATAGTTCAGTTCGAACGATATCAAATTTAATAAATTTTGCTCAAAACGAATCGAGTTTGATGATTTAATGATGATTTTTAAGACAACCATATAAAATTCACGATAAAGTTCTAAAAATTCCATTACAAGATATACTATTATGGTGTATCTTTATTTGATCGGTAATCGCGGGAAAATGGTTCTTAAAGACATGCAAATAAGAGCCGAAACTGTCGACAGACAGGGCAAACAGTTTTCGTGCTACCTCATCCGAAGTTCCAAGCGGTCAGCGGACTGGACCCAGCTGCGGCTGCGAACAGCGCGTCCTCTCCCACACCCGGAGTACTTGAACGTATACTAGTCAATAAGGGGGATAAGGTAAGAATTTTTGAAGCCATAGAGTACCGCTTTTTTTTCTACCTAAGGTAATAGATAGCCTTGAGAGGCTATTTTAGCGTAACCTTAACTAGTAGGTGAGCTCACGGGACTCAAACCGAAGTGATGCTAACACTGACCCTAGCAAGAGCAGCGCTTCGCAGAATCTACCACCGGATCGGAAACGCGACCCACTGGAGAAGATCCGGCGAGAAACTCAGTGGGCAAAAGAGTACCGCTTGAATTCGACTAATGTATTGAAAAACACTATAATTGTTTTTTTTTAAATACCTATGCTTTAATATGAACTTAGAAGTATAAAATTTCTTTTCCGTGTTTCATGGGTTGCCATTCGATTCTAAGCTTTATTCATATAAAATAACAATAACTTAAGAGGCCTGCCCCGTTTATCTCATATCAACACGTCCGTAATACAAAAACGATGACGTCTTCAATCAAGTCCATAGTTTTTTTATTTATATTGTTACAAATAGCCCTTTCCTAACCAATTTATATTTAGAATATCTGAAAATCAATTGTGTGTTTTCTATTATATAATCGTATTTAACTCACTTAATGATTAAAACCAAAAGAGGTATTACAGTATTCGAAATTCACATATTAATTTTAAGTGGTGGTCTTTCAATGATCGACATTCGATAATAATACTGACATTTCAAGATTCAAATTCACTTGGCGTATTACGTTTTTTTTTCATTGACATTTCAAGGAAAAGTGTGTTTATTTCACACAATGTAAATTAATAACAATCAAGTTTGTCAATACTAAACAATTAAATAAAGAAAATTAGTCGATAAAGAGTTCGACCCATGCATCAGCCCGCTGAGTATTTCGCCGGATCTTCTCAGCGGGTCGCGATTCCGATCCGGTACTAGATTCATCCGCGAAGCAGCTGCTTTCGAGTTGTTAGGTCTCCTCGGAGGCGCTCGGGCAGCTGTTAGCTAATCCCACCCCTCCTGGCTGAGCCTTTGCTCGCCCAGCTGTCCTGGTGAAACTGGAAAAGCCTCCGGGCCAACAGTAAACCTTCATACATACAAAAAAAAAGTGGAGAAAATTGTACTTAGCTGTCTGTTTTTTTTTTATTGCTTAGATGGCTGGACGAGCTCACAGCCCACCTGGTGTTAAGTGGTTACTGGAACCCATAAACATCTACAACGTAAATGCGCCACCCACCTTGAGATATGAGTTCTAAGATCTCAAGTATAGTTACGACGGCTGCCCCACCCTTTAAACCGAAACGCATTACTGCTTCACAGCAGAAATAGTAGTGGTGGTGGTACCTACCCGCGTGGACTCACAAGAGGTCCTACCACCAGTAAAAGAGTTTTTGCCTGTTTGTGTATAAATCATGATGTCTATGGACTACGATACTATGAATATATTCTAGGTGGTGAAGGGCCAGCCTCTGTTCGTGGTGATAGCAATGAAAATGGAGTATGTAGTACGTTCGCCCCGAGATGGCGTGGTGGAAGCCGTGGCACCCTTCAAACAGGGTGATGCCGTTGGCAAGGGAACCCAAGTTGTTATGCTAGAAGACCAAAGCTAGTAATCTAATAATGACACTATCTTATATGTTCCTACATGATTTGATGATAAATCTTACTCCGGTGCTATACTTTAAGTGTTAATGAATTCCAAAGTTTATAAAGGTAAGAACGTTTTTATATTTTGTAAGAGAAAATGTTTCTTTTTTGTTTTTAAATAAAAATCACATAAAATATTGTTATTAATTTATAAGTTCCAAAGTCTGCATGTTTATTTGCCGATTCGTATACCCAAAATCAACCGTAACGGCCATATTATAAATAATTTGAATTTGGTTCCAAAGCTCAATAATTAAAACCTTTATTAAACTAAACTCGCAAATTACGCCTCAGTGTCACAAAATATTTTGTTTTTTTTTAGTTTACATATACCTATATACCTATGGATAAATTTAATGAAACGTAAAAAAAGTTTAATGTAAAATAATATTATAAATCTACACGGTTTGAAATGGTTTAAAGCCAACGGTTGTGGTTGTGAGGTTCTCGTGATAGCCGTGGCCTCTGTATCATCGTTATGTAGCAGTGAGTCGGTCACACATTCGAAAAAAAAATTGTATTTTTTTTTGTGTGAAGATATATTTCGTATTCTGGAATCTAAGTTTCAGTTTAAAACAATATTACAGTGACACAGTCTATGATTCTCACTACACATACCGCACGCTCTCTCTTTGGTCGATCTAGATGTGACAAAGTGAAATTCATTTTTGTTTGAAATATATTTTTTGTATTTGGATACGAAATTTCATAAAATCTAAACACTCTTCACATATCTCGATGTCAGCTTTTATAATATCTGGGTCTAATTTCTGTACTAGCATATGGATTATAAATAAATAAAGTCAAATGTTCTGCCTGTATTTAAATAATTGATATTGGGAAACTTTTAGAAAAAATAAATTGATACCCTATATTGTAACGACAGTACAAAGTATTTTATTCATTGAATTCGTTATTATTTATTTAAAACAAAAACGATATATTTAATGTAATATAAATTTTATAAAGTGGTTGTAAATAAATATTTGGAAATAATTAATTTGTTTCTTTGCGAAAGTAACCATTAGGTTAGGACGTTAAATTCATTTGCAAACTTCCCCGTTACCTTCATAATTTCATTAAAAAACCTTTACTTTTAATAGTACTATTGTTTTTATTTCATCACATTTTTTAACACCGTACATAACATAGTATGAGACAATAGAACTAGTTAAATGATTTTGTTGCGTAACAGTTGGTACGCAACAAGCTAGTCCGAATTCATTAGGTACCTATTCGAAATATTTTAATACAAAGCATTCATATCATAAATATCAATGCCCATTAAATAAAACGAAACAGAATTTCAGTGCTTTTCTTAAGGGGGGCGTAGCTCAGATGGTAGAGCGCTCGCTTAGCATGCGAGAGGTACCGGGATCGATACCCGGCGCCTCCAGTCTTTTTTAAATCTGATCAGATCTTACTTTCGAAAAAAAGATCCTATCTTAATTACCTGGTTATGCATTAGAAAATTAATTGCTTTTATTAACAAATGTATAGCATATGCATATAGAGTAATACGAGTAAAGCACTGTTATTATAGTATTAAAATATTTGATGTATAAAGCAGTCCTATTATCGAAAACACTTAATTCTAAATATTATTATTTATTTATTGAATGTTTCGAAATAGCTTGCAACGTTTTTTTTCCTTATCAGTTAACGACAGAGTTGCTACAAATCTAAATGATTGTGAATTACGTCATAATAATGTCTTTATGCTTTTTTTTTTAGTTGTGTTGCGGTGTCTTCCCATAAGTTTTATCTTCTGCGGTTTTTATTCCGATACCGTACTTGCTTTGTGATACTTTCAATCAAGGTCGCCGGTCGTGCCTATTGTAATTGCTATCGCGGTATCACCGGTACAAACCCAATATTATGTGCGGTGCGCGAACCCTTGAAACGACAACTTGTTGACTTGTTATCTTAAATGTTTATGTAGGTCGTGCGGCGAATTTATTAATAAAACTGGTTTTCAATTTCCAAATTCTCACGCGACGCCGATCTTGGTATCGCACGCTAACGACCTCATTAATAGATATCTAAAGATATTTTGCCTACACTATTTATTATACATATTATAAAATTGTTATCGAAACAATAATGTTTTACCTTTTTTTTTTTTTCTAAATGCTTTCGCATACACAAAAGATAATCACAATTTTCACAATTTAAAAAATAAAATGTACATGACTACTTTTAGAGAAATGATTGTAAATTAATTACATGAAGAAACTTAGTAACCATAAAAAATTCTATTCTGTGAACAATACAAATCTATCAACGTATCCAAAGTCATAGAACTCGATGTAAATACCTACACAGTAAGTATGTAAGCGTTGCACTTGTTCAAACCTCTTTGTTATAAAAGTAAATTGTATTGAACTGCGGCTATTATTGTCGATAAGCGCTGCCCTTCGTACCTGCTAAAGGTCCGTCCGCCCTATAATTTTTTTTTTGATTTGTCGACATTCCAGGCACAGCTGATCAGAACAAAAAGTCATGGTTAATTTCACTAGACGCCCTTGTCTCGAAAAACGTGAAGCTGAAGATAAGCGAATAAGCTATACATACCTTAAACCTTTTTAATACGCTTTTATTAGCTTTAGACGTATGTATGTTAGTATGTAACGGAATCTTTGAACATTATTTTGACCCCCTTCAAAACGTCGGATTAACTAGAAATTTGGTATACTTATTAAGGACCGATGACAATTCAATATTTAAAAAAAAAATTGAAAAAAATATATTGAAAAATTGAAATTCAGCTAAAAAATGAAAAATAAATAATAGTTTAAAAAAAACTAACAAAATACGGTTTTATAGAAAACGCTATTTTTACAATAAATCATATTTTCTTACACTCATTTTAATTTATTAAAATTTATTTTCCATTTTTTAGTTGGATTTTCTATAAAAGCATATTTTGTTAGTTTTTTTAAACTATTATTTATTATATTATACATTCGAAAACAAAATTCAAAAAATAATGTCCCTTCCGTACCATAATTTGATATATAAAGTGGTAATGTTTTTAATTTTAGTATTTTAGAATAAATAGAAGCAGAAGGGGTAGTATTTGCTAATAACTCCTCGAGAACATCTCAAGGCCCGCTACGTCGCGAATGAATCTACCAACAATTCGTGATCTACTAAGAAGACCCGATGAGAAATTTACTTTGAACGGAGCCAAGGATTCATTGACTTTAAGTTTATACACGTGAAGTTCAGGCGTCGATACGCTGACACACATCCCCGTTATGTTATTAACCAGCTAAAAGATAACAAGAACAGAATGATAAATAATGATTATTGACACAAAACTTATACACGTCAACTCTCCCATGACGGGGGATATAGAAAATAAACGAACGAAAATTAGTTGTCAACTATATTATTTTATCATACCTACAAGCATCTACATGATCCAGCACTATTAGAAATACCTACTCGAAACAATGAGAGGAAATATTGTTCATAATCTATACGTAGTACTTGATTGTCTGAATCGCATCATCATCATTCTCCTGCCCTTCTCCCAGTCACCTAGGGTCGGCGCAACATGTTTTCTCCTTCCATACTCCTCTATCATATACCATCTCTTCGCTCACTCCCCTCTTACACATATCGTCTTTCACGCAATCCATCCATTTTTTCTTAAGTCTACCTCTTCCTCTAAAGCCTACCATATTCAAAATTAAAACTCTCTCAACAACCTCATTGTCATTTCGTCTCATCACATGCCAATACCGTCCCAAACGCGCACTTCTCAACTTCTCTGTCACAGGTGCCACTTTCAGATTTCCTCTAAGATATTTATTCCGTATTCTATTCATTCTCGTTAATCCACACATCCATTGGAATATTCGCATCTCTGCTGCGTGCAATCGCCTTTCATCCACCACTTTAGTGGTCCAAGAAGCTGATCCATACGACCGTCTTTGTTAAGGTCCCTTTTGGAGGAACCGCATATCATAATTAAATTAAAAATCAGTGTAAGTTCAATGCATTTCTCTTTTGTTTATCTACAACAACAACGTGTTCTATCTATTATGAAAATGATGTGGAACTGTGTATGTGAAGATTCAAATGTGTTGACTGTGTAGCCGACCGTACAGCTAGAAATAAATTAATATGCAGGCAACGCTTTCTCCGGCTAAGAACTTGTTCGCGCTAACGTAGCGAATACTGCTTGTAACAGTGGCGTACCTAAGGGGGGGCGGTGGGTGCGGTCCGCACCGGGCGGCACTTACCCTGGGGCGGCATTTTAGCATTTACTTTTAGTTGTATAAAGCAATTTATTCATTTCATATTTATTTTCTTTCTTGAATAATAAATGATTATTATGATTATTAAAAGTTTAATATTTGATTTATATAAATTATGATTAACTATATGATTTCGAATATTATTCATCGGTGTATATAAATGCATATTAGTGTAAATTTTGAATTCTAATTCAAGAACAAGGTAATAATTTGATTTTACTCAATTCTATGCAATCTTTTTCTTTTCTATGTTACCTTCATTTATGTGAATCCGTTCTTTTGGAAATTGATGACTCTCAAAAATACCTGCAAATAAAGGGGTTAAATGTCCACCAATGCCATATAAAACTAAATTCTTTGCAAACACATTTAATGGAACAAAGAGATACGCTAGTACAAAACGCTGTTATAGCTGCCAAAATAATTGGTGAAGAGATGGAAATATCGACTGAGCGTCGAGTTAGAAGGAGAAAAAATATGAGTGGGGAAAATTCGCAAGACGTGGGGCTATCCTTAGAAGAAGAAGTACGAAGAGAAATGTTTTCATCTATGGACAGAATTATAAAGGAAATAAAAGAACGCTTCGATCAATTGCATGGTCTTGTAAGAAAATATTCGTGTATAATACCGTGTAACCTACTAAATGAAGAATTTGAATGTCAAATAAATGATTTGATCGACATTGATAAAGAACAGTTCCATATTGAAAGAAAAAGGATCCAGGTTTTTATGGCTGTATCTACACTAAAAGAAGAGGTAAAACATTGGAAAAACGGGGAGAAGGGCCCTCTTGACCTGCTAAAATTTATTCAGCAGTATAGGTTGGAAAATTCTGTTCCCAACATTGTAATTTTGTTAAGAATTTTTTTAACAATTTCAATTAGTGTCGCTAGTTGCGAAAGAAGCTTCTCAAAATTGAAGTTGATAAAAAATTATCTTCGTTCTACAATGAGTCAATCAAGACTACAAAATCTTGCAATATTGTCAATAGAACAAGAAATTACAAAAAATATAAATTTTGAGAGCATTATACACGATTTTTCTAGTATGAAAGCTAGAAGAGTAGATATTATATAAATATGTTTACGAGTGCATTTTTTATTTTTTTTTTATTTTTTTATTGCTTTGATGGGTGGACGAGCTCACAGCCCACCTGGTGTTAAGTGGTTACTGGAGCCCATAGACATCTACAACGTAAATGCGCCACCCACCTTGAGATATAAGTTCTAAGGTCTCAAGTATAGTTACAACGGCTGCCCTACCCTTCAAACCGAAACGCATTACTGCTTCACGGCAGAAATAGGCAGGGTGGTGGTACCCATCCGCGCGGACTCACAAGAGGTCCTACCACCAGTAATACAAATGGTGCATACAAAACCAGTGCATACAAATAAGTCTAAAAAATTTACTCATGTGTATTAATTAATATTGATTAAATAACTTAATAATTTATTTATGTGTATTAATTTATAAAAACCACTATTTGATTGACTTATAATAGAAAGGGCGGCAGACTGGAGATCGCCCCGGGCGGCAAAAGTTCTAGGTACGCCACTGGCTTGTAATAAACCTTAAATTCGTAAAACGTCATACTTTTCAAAAGATAGTAAATCCAACACAAAATAATATTCAAAATTCAATCAATAATATTCAAAATAATATTTTAATACTAAGTATTCTTCTTCGGTCAGATTTCAAGTGTTATATGCTTATATTAGGAGAAATCTAACGAGCAATCTAAAATTTATAAGTAACTAGTCCACTGTATGATTTCGCGCCAAACAACTTTTTGATAAAATCGCTACAATTAAAGTACATGATATTTAAAATTTGACTAAAAATACGTCTAAAATATTAGAAAAACGTAAACAATAGTCTTTATCTACGGTTCACCGTTAAAAGCGTATACTATGTGACATTAACATATCAGTTTATGAATATTTACAAAGCACGAACGTGATTTTATTGCATTTCTTTAATATGTGAACGTGATAAATGCTTACACGTGCTTTCCTTAAAACATGTAAGAAATTACGAAACAGATTAACGCCTTCAGTTTCACACATTAAAAATATTGACACAGAACCGTATTAGGGTCTAAAATGTTGAAAAAGGTACCTCAATTACTAATTATTATTATGTACGTTTTCCAACGTGCCCCTAATGCATCTTGGTCTGATTGTTTCTTTTTCTCTGGTGGTAAGACGCATTGCAAGCTGCCTCGTGTAGGTATCACTATCATATTTAAATGTATTGAGTACTAGCTGACCCGGCAGACTTCATAGTGCCTCAATCGATAAATAAAAGACCTAAGCTTTTGTATAAAATAAACTTAAAACAAACAAAAGGAATCCGTCCGACGGAGGACACATCAAAGGAAAAACAAAATTGTTATTTTTATTTAATTCCGAGCATTTTCATATTTATGTATTTACCTTTTAAACCTCTGGACTTCCACAAATAATTCAAGTCCAAAATTAGCCAAATTGGTCCAGCCGTTTTCGAGTTTTAGCGAGACTAACGAACAGCAATTCATTTTTATATACATATATAGATATATAGATTGTAATATAAAGAAAATTAATCTTATGGCTCGTTCTGAACAGCAGTATACAGATAGGAATGTCCATGAATGTTGAAGGCCCGCGTGCCTCTGGTTTTTGCAGACCATTTTAAAATTAAATGATAAGTAAACAAAACACTGCACTAATTTCTTTTAAGAAATGCCGGAGAGTTATTCATAAAAACGGTCTGGTTTATGTTAAGAATGTACGCACAAACAGGCAATTTAATATTATAAATACTGCATGCATGCGATGTAGGCTTCATACGAAGTTTGCGCAATCAAATCAATAGCTACTATCATAGTAACGTTAGTTGAGAAACGGCTTCCAATCAATACAATAACCCCGAATATAGGTATGTCGACAGGTCGATTACAGGCACGTATGACATTTATTTGAACAAAAGCCTTGCCTAAGCAAATCATTCCTATTTGGCATTCGCTAGATAAACTGCAATAGTTTATTTACAAATATTTTTTGTTCTTAGAATTTCTTACAATTTTCCCAGCGATGTTAGAAATTATAATGAATACAGAATGACTACTACGATAATTATTGTATTTTGAAATCTTGGATTGTTTTATTCTACGTCACTGTTATACTACACATCATTATAAAAAATCCTCATCATGCGTAGCAGAAGTTGTTGTGGGTTTTTCAGCAAGTCAATTAACAGAACATCATTGTCTACGAATAAATAAGATAAACTAATTACGCAAAGCTATTTGCATTGATCAAATAAACAAAAATAGTCTGTGACCGTAAACTTGATAAACAATAATAGACTAATTTAAAAGATAAAGTTAAAAGATGTGTTAGAAATACGTACTTTATACGCGTTAGAATATTATAATTTCGTTCGTACGATTGTTGCAAAGATTTAAATAAAAACAATAATGTGTTTTTTAACTATGACTAAATGAAAATTACTGAAATTATAATATATAGATATAATAATGAAAAACCCAACAAAAACTGTAGTAGTAAACAGTAGTATCTGTGAAAAACTCGATTTTACTATGTAGCTGTGACAATGCGACTTATGCACTTTACAAAATATAGAATCAAACATACAGAAAACAAAGAAACAAAGCAAGTTCGCTACAATTGAATTAGCTTTAATAACGAACAGTACTAATTATCTAATAAATTGCGTGGCTGTAAAAGTACGTATTGTTGCATAAGTGGATGCATCTGCTTGACATTTGAATCGACCCCGAATCCGAATAGAAACTGTGTCACGTATGAAGCAGTAGCGGGCACCAGCGCGGCGCGGCGTCCGTCGTAGAGGTGCGTTGTGCAATCCCGTTAGCGGTCCACGGCTCCACGTGCGAACCGGCCGACGCGCCTCAATGTCGCCCGTGGGCGTCCGCCCTCTGCCCTCCCGCCCGCCCGCTCAAAATAGCGAGCCTGCCCGAACTCGGAGGACCCGAGGGCCGCCGAAAACCCTTCTCTCTCGTACAACCAAACAATCACATTAACGTCTCTTTCACGCGAACAGCTGAGTATCAAAACAAAGAAGCGAGACGGGCGGTCGCCGCTCCCTCTCGCCGGCCGGCCGGTGTCGCCGCAAGCACGCCAGTTCTCATCTGAACCGCGTTTATCGAGGTCGTTCGCTGTGAGCTCGCCGCTAAGTTTAGTACCGCGAAAGAATTTTCCTTTGTCCTAAACTTCGAGGACCCTGCCCTCGTATTATGTTTCCGTGCGAGAGCCGCAACAAACCCCGGCCTATTGAGGAGCCGGACCGTGTGCATCGTACTGAATCGTGTCATAATTCACCTAGTTTCCCGAAGTTCTTCGACGGTTATCCCGCGAAACGCGTACGCCGGGCGATCTAAGATTTAAGTGAACTTGTTCTGTAAAAAATTAAGCGGGTCCTCGGACATCTCCAGACCCGCTGGCGAAGGACTGTAGTTATAAGTGAGCACGTAAAGCAACATGTCCACTGGAAAACGATTGGCTAAGAGGTCCATTATCGGGACGAGAGTCGCCGCTCTGGGTGACGACGGTCTCTACTATTCGGGCATGATCCAGGCTGTGAAGACGCCGTCCTCCTTCCCTGAAAACAATAACTGCATTAACCTGACGCCGAACACTCGTTATACGGTGCGCTTTGAAGGGGGGAAAATGATTCGGGAATATCGAGATGCCGAGTTGATCGGGCCCGGCTTCCGAGGTATGACCGGCGTTCGCCTGCAGCCTGGACAAAGAGTTTTCCTAACATACAACGGGCGTGAAGTACGGGCCGACGTCTTGCACCACGATCACGACAGCGACGAACTGCGCGTCCAGGTCCACGCTCCCGCTGCCGAGGTTTGTACCTATGTTTGTAAATAAGAATTAACCAGAATATGCTTTTTTTCATTCTCCACGAATCTCCTTACAAAAGACATCGACGCGAGCAGTCTATTGATCATTCAAAAAAGTCCCTTATTAAACAGTTTACCGAGATTTTTGTGATGAGTGACCTTCTTACTGATCTTAACATTAAATTCTAAAAAAAAGTGAAGTTGCTTTGGGAAAGCATCAAATTAATAAATCTTAAGTTTTAAGTGACTGCATATTCTAAATTAAATGATCTCAAAATATATTTGATGGACATATCAAAGACCTATTAATTCTGTTGAATGGACATCAAGTGTGAACATATAAATGGTGCAAAGTAGTATGCACTAAGCTATTGACCTCGTCGGCTCCACGTGCAACGAGCTCGCAACGCAGCCTCTGACGCGTAGACAAAGTAGTTCTGACGCATCGCATCTTAAATGCATCTGATGCATTGTTACCGAGCTACCGAGATTATTCAATTTAACCACAAACAACATTATACGCTTACCGTAACTCGAATTAGCAATATCCGTCACTGAATAATTGGCATGTCATCCATTTTACTTGCTGTATTAAGCTTCCTTATGTACCTAAACTGTGAAATTCGACTTATAATCCAAAAACATCGATATCATAGCAATTGAATACCAAACGATAAATAATTTTCACAATCAAAATAAAACTAACTATATGTATTGTTTAAGACGTCAAGGGTAATGATAGCACATCAGATAGATAGCGATGGGCGGAAGCTATTCGTAATGCCTTTATCATAATCACGTAAAGTACAAAAATGTGCACAAAATCGTTTTACGACCATAGATAAGATTATGACACTCCATTATGATCGCTTCATAATTAAGTGAGCCTGTAGCGCCATTTGGAAGGTAAGGGCTCGTTCAGTGACGATAGAGCGTATTGTGGGTCCGCGCGAATAGATACTGAGATTCTGTCTATTCCTGTCGTGAAGCAATCCTGCTTTCCGGTTCTAAGTTTGAGACAATACAAGTATGACTTCACTCTCATCTCCCAAGGTCGATCGGTATAAGCACATCTGTCCACCTACACCAATAAAAAAACCATCCCATTGTTAGCATCATACTAACAATAATTATTTACAATGTCACAATTGTAGTAGGTATTCGTATTTGATAACAGCGCAGAATTAAATTCGTAGCGTGTGTTTGACGTCGCTTAGAAAACGCGTGCGCTAAATTTTATTAATCCGGTCGCACCGTTACGCCGTGTAACTGCGCCGGAGTAAACAGGTAGCCGATGATTACAATAATCGTTTCCACCAGGGCCCGGCCGGCTCTTGGAGCGATGTAGATTGCTCCGTTTTCCTCGGACGTGTCGAACGCCGGCCGGCATTTGGCGTTCGAATGCCACCGTATGTATGTATGCGTCATCAATACACGATTACCCAATCCTGAGCCGCTGCTCTTATCTCCAACTAATTATAACATTAAATAACTTTGAATTTATAATTATGATGGATAACTGCGCTATACATCGGTCAATACCAGTGTCCCTGTTTTATCATAAAATTGTTCTTGAATGTAACTATATACATAAGTTTAATGATCTGAACCGTGAACCTTCTTTTGCGGCAGACCTTGGCCGGTGTTTTTAATTTATGATGTCACACAAGCAATATTTAAACTACTAATTCTCTTGCAAGTGACTTAAAAACAATTTGTAAATATTTAAACCGGGCCATAAAATGAATGTCAAGGTTTTCGTGACAAATGTCTCTTAGTATTCAAAGTCGAATGATTTAATAATAAAGGTTAATTTGTTAGAAGCTCTAAGTGATCGTTAATTTTTGCAAATAAATCATTTCATAAAACGGCGTGATATACAATACTTAAATGTTAAATAATATAGTGGCAACTGCCAAGAAACCAACGCTTATGTAGTTTTTGCGCGGAAGTCAATTTGGCAAAGAAACATTACCTGTACGGGGTACTGATTAGTACGTTTTAAATACCCAAAATTAAATGAAATTACAAAACAAGGTTTATAATAAACGTTAACCGGTCTGGAACATTAAATGTTTTTGTAAAACCCAGGAACGAGGACATAGCGTAAAACCCTTTTCGGGTGTGAATGTGAAATATTAAATGTAATGTAATGTAATAAATACTCGGAAGTTTTATCGGCGAGTGACGTGCGGTATTCCCCAGATACATTCGCTACGCGGTACGAGGTGCTCACGTCATCATTTTAATTCTACGGTTTTTTGTTACATAAACTTACAATACGCTCGAACTAATCGAGCTGAATCACCGACGTGTTCATACTATAGCTACTGTCTAATACAGCTTTTCGTTTTCAAATGCAAAAAATACAGTATACGTATACCTGTGAACTTTTGGCATTACGCAAACTTTTAAATACTATCATAAAAATGTGAAGACACTACAACGCAATGCAGACAAAACAAAACAAAATTTAATTGCATTCATAGATGCGAATAGTTCACATAAAAATGTTATATTGATTACAATCCAAATAGTGTTTAGCTTTGCGTATTATAAAAGTATACTTAAATAGAACTGATGTATCATTGGTGAGCGAGACAGCCATAATAATGTCAGGCAATAAGATATAAAAATAAAGAGTGCTCCGCTCAGAAATAAGGTCACCGGCAGGCCCGGAATCGAGTAACGGTGTTGGTTACAAAATCGCGTCAAGAATTATATTCACGTGCGCGCGGCGCCGGCGGTCACCGTACCGTTATTCAGTGCCGATGGCGACTCTACCTCGACTCCTCCGTACTCCTAAGTAGGACATTCGTTCGCACTAACGTCCATCAAATTAATCGTTAACGCCAAACAAAGTCGTGTCCGCCTGCAAAAAATAACCAGACTCTACGTACAACGCCCAATAATATTGCAGTTGGGTGAGGTCAAGCTTGTTGTTCACGAGCACTGTCGTTACCTGAAAGGAACTAGATAATGGTAGTTTCGTAAACGATCTTGTGATTTTGACTGCGTTTCTGTGCAAAGGTCGCTTGCACTCGCTATATTTGTTTGCAGGATCGATATAGATACGACGCGGACGGCGAATGTCACAAGACGAGGCAAGGCGGACCGCCCGTAGACGCGGATACCGCAGATTGTGAAAGTGCCTCTCGCACCTCTACTTTACGAATTGAATATCTACTCAGTTTGTTTCCTATATAGTCTTGTCCTATTCAACTGATTCCTGAACTATCGTATACTTTTTCATTGAACTTGATGAATTTTAAACAAAGCACTACCTTAGATTACGTTGGTACTTTGATTTTTTTTTTCAACGTTTAATATAATGTTTAATTACTTTAATTTAGAAATAAAATATATCGCGCGTGTGTAAACAGTAAGTTACTTATCCGAGCGGGCAATAACATGCTTACATTGCAATTAATATCGCATAACTAATATGACTGGCGAAAGTAATTACGATATAAAACAGTATCAGCGGACGTCTGAACGCGCTTAACAGATTTTTCCAGTCCAGTTAAGTTATTTTTATAAGACACTTACTCTTACGGCGCTTACCGTTGCGTGAAGGATCACGTGCTGCGAGAAAATTTCGCTATAAATAATATGGATACCTACTTGTATTGACCTCCGCGAAGGCTTTTTTTATCTCAGTCATCTCAGTGTTGAAACAACATTCCGAATTAATAGTAAAGTCACGCTGAATTAAAAGCCACTTTCCTACTTGTTTATCAAAACCTTTATTTATAATATATTATTACTATGAAACGGTTTTCTTTTGAAAATAATATATAACATAAAGAATTGCTCCAATTATTTCCGTGAAGATAACACCATAAATGATGCATATTTACCAAAATAGAATAATATACCGTTGCCATCAAAATCACGAAAAATAAAATCAAACTGATTAGGATAAAAGAATCCGAAGACACCTACAAAGACCTTGTTAGTACAATTCAGGACAAGTATACAGTTGTATAACTATTTCTATCTATCATCGAAGCCATCATAATATATTTTAGATCACTTAACTATACACCTTAAATTTATTAGTTTTTTATAATTCACGCGTTCACGATGGTAAATGGTTAGTTACCGCGAGTCATGAGCACCACCAACGTTAGGAGCATAACGATTATCGAAAAACACTATAAAACTCGTTTCAATAACAAACAGGCCACTAAAACTAAGATTCGATAATTAAAAAAAAAATTGTTAAGTCGCATTTATAAAAGTAATAAAAGATCAAGATTTCGTTAAACTACAGGAAACACCATCACCAAAACGACCTTGACTTTACCAACTGAACTTCATTTGAATCAATTATGCTAAAATATTTTCGTAATCAAAGCACATACATGTACGAAATATAAAAATATATATTAAATAACTAAACTTTATTGTTCCGAGTGTACGATCTACAACAATTTTAATCAAAATATTTTCTGGAACATAGAAAACGTCCTCCCACTCCGCAGCGACAAGGTCGACCCTTTGTGAGTGGCCTCATTGCATTCGCCTTGGAATAGTTACATGATTTATGTGCTGCTTCTTATCTACACAGCTGCACAATCAGCCGCGAATCTAAATCGCGTATCGTTCAAATTGGAACACGTTCGAAACATTTCAAACATAGAATGCCTTTTTAAGTTGAGGATACTCCAAACTTTAGACAGTAGGACTCATGTATTTCCTATTATTCCGCCCATATATGAGATAAGTCAACAATGCAAAGTGACTTTGCTGGCATTTATACTTAGCAGTAGAGCCACCGTCATTGTTGCTAAGTGAACTGTTTTTATATCGAGTTGGTGCATGCTTTACAAGCACAAAAGTCGATTGCAAATTTTTCTGAAGCTAAAATTTTAAATGAGAACGCTGTGTTTTTATGTGTCAGAATCGTAGACAGCCCTTACATTCTACAATTAATTTCAGACGTTATCAACGCTTTACCGTTTTCACGGTCACGGACGACATGACACTAATAACGTGAAG